AGCAGCTTCTTGAACATGTTCGGCGGCAAAATTTGGACCTTTAGCACCACCCCTCAAAATGATATGACAACAATCATTACCCTAATATATATATATATATATTTGAAATTTGTTTAGATAAAGAAAAATTTAAGAAATGTAACACAAAATGATGATATTTACTTCTGTGGCTACGATGGCACTCAAACCTTGTTTGGTGACAGAAAGAAAATGATGTTTGGAACTAGCAGACTTAATGGCATCAATTGCAATGCCAATACTTCCATCGGTACCTGTAAACATTGAAAACCGTAAATCAATATCAAAATCATAATAAATAACAGAGAAAATTATATTCGATGTTTACCATTTTTAAACCCAACAGGTACAGATAAACCTGAAGCAAGTTCACGATGGACTTGAGACTCTGTTGTTCTAGCACCAATAGCACCTAATATGAAATGACACGTTACACATACAATAAACAAATAAAAAAAACAAAAAAAAAAACGACATATACCCCAAGAAACTAAATCTGCAATGTATTGTGGGGTAATTGTATCGAGAAATTCACAGCCACATGGAAGACCCAATTCATTCTATTTAAATAGAAAAAAAAAAATTAGTTAAAATAATCAAAACTTTAATTGCCACGTGAAATTGCCAAAATGCATACTATATCCATCAAAAGATTACGTGAAATACGCAATCCTTTATTGATTTGGAAACTATTGATTAAATTGAAGATACGATCAATATACATGTTAAATATTTGAAAAAAAAAAATTTGTATCGTATTTGACATAAATAAGATAAATATAGACCTGTTATTTAGAAAAGGATCATTGATCAATCCTTTCCAGCCGACTGTCGTTCTTGGTTTTTCAAAGTAGACACGCATAAAAATCAAGAGTTCGTTAGATACTTCAGCGGAATAAGCTTTTAGCTTCTCAGCTATGATAGATATATAAATGAGCCAATCTGATCTGATAACGAATAGAAGATAAAAATAATATACAGTACCATATTCAATTGCAGCACGAACATCGTGGACCGAACAGGGACCAACAATAACAAGTAACCTGTCGTCTAAACCTTTTATTATAGCCTCAGCACCCGAGCGGCCAAGTATGACAGTTTCAGCAGCCCTCAAGGTCAAAGGCAAGTCCTCCATTAAAATTTGAGGAGGTATGAGAGGCTTAATTTGCTTGATACGTTTATCATCGAGTTCATTAAGAGCTAAAAGGAACCGAAAAAAGTTTTTTTTTTTTTTTTTTTTAACAAATTATATAAAACTAAACATAATAATGAAAATTAATTCTATACCATTACCATCACGAACGACCAATTTATCCGCCATTTTTTTTTTTTTTTCAGAGTAGGAAAAAATGTAATAAAATTTTTTTTTTTGAAAAAAAAAAATTGGCACAACCAAACCCTTATATACGTGTGTATGCGATAATCAATATTTTCAATATTTTCAATAACAATGGGCTATATGAGTTACTATGAGTCATAAGCCCCCGCCATATGTTTACAAACGATAATGATAATAGCTCGAAGCCATTAACTATATATTAAACTATAAATATGCAATAGATTGTCGACTATGAATAACTTTCTTTGCATCGTGTTTTTAACAGAATTTTATGTTGTAACGGTAATTGGAAATTAACTTTAAAAATGTATATGTATGATTTAATAATTCAAAAATTTGCTTAATATAGAATTTTTCGATAGTTCAATTAAAAATTTTTGAATAGAGAAATAATTTTTGTCTCGAGACAAGGTTACTATAATTTAATAAATCAGAGACATTTAAAAAATCTGCATGCAAATATCGATACGTATAACGTCTTTTTTATTTTTGACAATTAATTATATATTAGTCTAAATGTGAATGTCGAGATACCGATATACTGCTATGAAATATTCAAATTTAGCAAATTTAACTGGAAGAATCAATATATTTAATAATTGACGCAACGAGCACAATGGCATACGTATCAATTTCAGAATTTACTCAATTTACTTGTGCATTAATTTAGATCTTAAACGTTATCATTATGAAAAGTTTTTTAAAAAACAAATAACAAAATAGAAATTAGATTTTATGAGTCAACGGTTTTAAGTGACACAAGAACATTGGAATTTACAAGAATGTAACCTTAACGTTAATGTTTACCGTTACACTTTACTATGGCTTGTCCAAGTCATTTTCAGGTATCGCTATTTAGCCAATCAGAATATGGTCTAAAAATCAATTCTGATCCTGATTGGGCAATTTCAAGTGACTACGCAAAAAATTTAGAGATTCACCTAAATTTATTCCTTTTTTGTAGTGCTTCGATCTTATTTTGTTAGAGGCTATTCGAATTAAATTCGGATCCTCTTTTACCTTCCAGTTGATAATTCGAATCTGAATAAATTCGGATTCACCATGAAAAATCAAATTTTATTATGCTGTATACTACAGTGTTGTCAATTTTGGCAGAATTACTGGAACTGGAAGGTCATTGGACTTAACTGGATAGAATTAGAGGCCTAATTTGTGAAGCCAATAACGATAGAATGACAATATTGGACTTTCTTCTACTGTATGTAAACATTAGTAATTCACAATGTAATTCTTATTTGTAAAATAAAATATCAGTTTCGTACAAGAAGGTAAGCATATCATCTCAATATCTATAATTTAAAGTTTTTTCGTGATTAGGTTTCACGATTTTTGTTGTCAATATTATATTGTTAAATTGATTCAGAAGTTTCATTTCGTTAATTCCGAGCACTGTAATAAGAAATTCTTTCATTTATTCCCAATATATAATATAAAAATTGAGCAAGTAACTATTGTTAAAGTCCAGGATCCAAACCTGTTCTTATATAATACACAATAGATTGTTGTCTGGTATTCTTAATATTCTTAAATTCTTGATCCTTGATTGGATTACTTCTATATTATTAATAAAAAATTAAAATAATATGGTGTTAAATAACAGATTTAATAATTAAAGTATCTTCACTAGCTTAATTTTCCACGCAAGACATTTCACTGATAAAGATAACTAACTACTTTGTCAACAGAACATTAGGGTGTTACCTCAACTAATAAAATCAAATATTAGTTAGAGTAATATATGAAGATCATTAATTTCGGATTTATTAATGGCTGTATTTGAATTGGATAAATTTGTGATAAATTCTAAAATGTCACAAAATTAATGTGAAAACTAGAATTTTTTAAAC